TGCTGTTGTCTCTGAATGCGAGAGCCAGGCAAGGGATCTAGGTTCTCGTCTTTCTCTGAATGCTTAACAAAAAGTAAAGTCAGTCAAGAGGCAAAATAACCCCATAAAATGAAAATAAAAGAACAGGGTACCCACAGACTTCTGTGGGATGCCTAAAGCTAGATTCCTTCAGGCACAAGGACTGATGCTGGCTTGAATGCCAGAATCCTCAGTGCACACAGAGTGGCACAGATGTGAACTGAAAGCACAGCACCATTGGAACAGACAGATAGGGAGAGCTGGCAGGTTTTCACGGTAAATACACCCTGTGCTGAGGCCAAGTCTAGAAACAGTCTGCAAACAGGCTATTATGAACCAAATGTGACTAGTCACAGTTAGGGAAATAGCCTCACATGGGAGCCAGAGGAATAATTGATAACTGTGAAATGGACTTCTCAGTTATACCCATACTCATTGCTATCAATCAGTGTTAGTATGTCAGTATGAAAGCCAGTCATCTCTACATTTTGACTGAGGGGCCAGCCAGTCAGTATCACTGAAAAGCCAACAGAAGCATGTAGTCCATGCCCAGAATGTTGATAATTTATCCTGAATCTACTTTTTATTCACTTAGCTTATGGCAATGAACTCAGTGTTTGGCATCTGAAACTATCACTTAGTGAGCTGGCAAGAAGATATATCCAGTTTGTATTTATTCTTTTATTCACAGAGCAAATTTTAGTATCCTGCTGGATAAATAAAGCATCAAAGTAATAACAGGAGTCAATAGCTACATAACACAGCAATCTGTAGAGGCACCGACACTAGCCAAATAGAAATGATTGTGCATTTGTTTGTTCCTTCAACTAGGACTATAGTTACACTCTATCAAGATTTACAAAAGACAGGATTTCTATACCAAAGACACACTATTGAATGTTGTTTCTAAAACCTTCCAAGTAGTTGGACCACCAGCTGCAACTTAACATCTTTACTGGATTGAGGCACAGCTGGGTGTCTGTAAAAAGGAAGCGCATCAATTTTCTAGTGCCCTCTGGAGTCGTCCTTCATTTTTAAGAATAATAAGAAACCAGCACTTAATTCATTCAAAAAAGCCATGTTTTTATTAACCTATAAAGAATCACTTATATTGGGCAACATCTCAAGACAGTCTTTGGCACATGCACATCCCACAGTTGCTTGGCTGTCTGTTTGCCTAGCAGCACATCCCACGCCATCCTAGAATACAGCAGTGATTCAACTCTTGTAACTAAACAGGTGGGATAGAACAGGTTTAGAAAGAACAGAGGTGGAGATTTATCTTAAGTATCTGTTCACATACACCTGGGTGATTTGGTTGTGACAGAGTTATTCATTTGATCATCTGGGCAGGAACAATTTATGAGGAAAGTTAGTGAGTTGACTAATTTAGGTACCGTCTGTCTTTAAGCAGCTTCTCTAAATATTGATATTTGCTGCCTAGTTACCTTTTTGCTTTGGCTCTGCATAGATCTTTGATCTTCCTAATTTCATCCCATGCTCTTAGTTCATTCTTGTCTTCATTCTCCATAAAAAGACTCCATACAACTCTCTAGTTACATACTGAATGTCAGCATCAGGAGAAGCATTCTGTTCATCATGACAACACATCCACTACAATACCACAGTTTTTGCTCAAAAGGACATTCTCATGTTGTTGGCATCTATGGAAATCATAGTTGTCATATGCCTGTCTGCACCCTGTGGACTCCTCTTGTAATAGATATTTTTCCAACTTCTTGAGTCAATTTATAGAAATACTAATCATCATGAGATAAAGATTATGTCATCTCCAAACTAGTTTTCCTTGGGCAGCTGAGGAGGGTGGCAGAGAATGGCTCACATGTTGGGTGGATATGGGAAGGTGAGTGGGAGCTGCTACTCTGACGGGAGACCATTCTATATGGAAAAAAGCACATGTGCAATGTTAGGAGAGCCATATCTTCCAATCTCTTGACCAACTTTCAGGGACAGTAGCCAGAGACCACTCAGCTGTTAATGGCAGATCTGGGGCCAGAATCCAGTCTCCTAACTTTTGATTGACTACTCCTGGGATAATCCCCTTTGAAAGGCAGCGTCTTCTAAATAAAAATGAATCCAACAAATGATCATGTGCTCACATTTTCATCTTCAAAGTTCATTTACTCTTTCTGTTGTGTAACATATTTGATGATACAAAATTTTATATCAAAATTTCAACCTTTTTGTAAATTTTATTATTGGTGTGTGTTTGTGTGTGTGTGTGTGTGTGTGTGTGTGTGTGTGTGTGTGTGTGTGTGTGTGTTTAAGTCCAGGGAGTTGTGGAGTTGGCTCTCTATTTTCATTGAGTTCTGGGATATTCACTCAGATCATTAAGTTTGAATAATAAATACTTTTATCATCCAAGCCATGTCTGCAGTATGACAGTCTAACTTTTAACTGTTCCACTGAACCTTGAGTAAGAAGGACTGTACTGTATGCTGCTTCAACTCTGGGATTAAGTGAATTCATGTTTGAGAAGGCCACCAATTCATTTATGTGTAATACTGTGATTTCTTATAAAGGACAACAATTGTTCTCCAACTACCCTCCTTAATATTGAATACAAAAATAGTAAGAATTAAATCTTTGAACTGACCATCTAATACTTGCTAAAATTGTACCTTTAACCATTTTGTCATAACAAGGGCGCTAACTTACTAGTGAGAATAGTGTCTTGATATTCCAGCCTGAATAGTAATGTATACTGATTGTTACACTGAAGGTTTATAATGATCCTAAACATTGTAATAATACTGCTCTCTCTTAAATCTCAACAGCAGCTCTTACAATGCTGTGTGTACAAGTTACATCTCACCACTTGTGTGTTTTGTTCTCAAACCTGAATTTATAATTTATTCCCTGAGTTGCCAGAAGCAACACACAGTACAGTCATTCTTACTCAAGGTTTGCTGGGGCAATTAAGAGTTTAAATTATCACACTGGAGAGACAGCTCAGTGGATAAAATTGTTTATCATGCAAACATAATCTATTATCTAGGAAAAATGCCAAGTAAAAATATATGCAAGAGCTGTCATTTTTGTTTCCTAATAGCCATATTTCTACTTAAACATATAATCAATACAAAATCTCTTGGTATTTTTTTTCACTCATATTACATCTCAGTGTGCACAATAAATTTTCCATAACTGGAGTCAAATGAAATCTTATTAAAATGTTGACACTGTGTTTAGTAAGAAATGTATTTTAGTACTTTAATTTTAAGGTTGAAATAAAATTAATAAAATGTAAATATAATTTAGAACTCAGTTCTTCAATTCCACTAACAACATAGCTAGTAGTTATGGTGCTGGGTACTATAGATCTAGAAGGTGAAGTGATTAAAAACAAAATTCAGGAAGTATTTACCTTTGCTACGAGTAAGAAGCAATATGATTATAATATTTAAGAAAAGAGCAGTTAACAAGGATATGAAAGGTTACAAGCTGGGCATGGTGATGCATGCCTGTCATCCTCACACTCAGGGAGTTGAAGTAGAAGGCTCACTAATTTGAAGACAGCCAGGGCTATATAATCAGACCATGTCAAAGAAGATTAAGAGAAAGAAGAGAGAAGGTGGTGGGAAAATGAGGATGAAGAGGAAGAGGGAGATGAGGAGGAAGAGACGGGGAAAGGTCATGAGAATTAAACATAGATTTAGAGTTAGGTTAAATTATCTTTGTTGAGTTTTCTAAGATGTCGTTAAACTTTAGTTTT